GTGTGCTCTTCCGATCTCTTTCCTTGTCCTAAAGCTTCTCGTAAATCCCTGTCTGGATCTTATCACCACCTCCGTATCTTCATACATCATCTCTATTCTTCTTACCAATCTTTCTTCAATTCCTTTCCTTTTCAGCTCCTTCCACAGAATATCTCTATCTACATTATCAAAAGCTGCTTTCAAGTCTGCAAACAACATGTACACCTTCATATCTTTTCCTCCCTGCCTCTTTTCTCTTTGCATTATGTGATTCAATACAAAGATGTTATCTATTGTTGACCTTCCTTTTCTAAATCCCGCCTGACTCTCTGGAACCAATCCTTTTTCTTCTGCCTCCTTTTCTAATCTCTTCCTAAGTATCTCCGCGTAGATTTTGTACGCCGTGCACAGCAGTGATATACCTCTGTAGTTCCCTGGTACCTCCTTATCCCCTCTTTTATATATTGGCACTACTATGCTCTTCTTCCAATTATTTGGTATTTTGCCTCTCCTCCAAATCAGCTTCAGAAGATCTAACAATCTCCCCCGAAGCCATTCTCCCGCATACAACCATGCCTCCGTCGGAATCCCGTCAATTCCCGCAGCTTTCTTTTTTTTCATCTTTCTTAATGCACTCCATACTTCCTCTTCTTTTATATCCTCTTCTGTTCTTTCTTGCTCTTTCCTTACCTCTTCTTCCCCATCATCCTGAATCCCATCTTGTTCCCTCTCTGTACCATCCAATAGGCCCATAAAATAGCTTCTCCATTCTTCCTTATCTATTTTGTTCCCTCCTTCGTCCTTTACCTTTTTACCTCTTTTTTTATTTATATATTTCCAAATTTCCGTTTCCTTCTTCAAATTCCTTAATATCATTTCTTCTTCCTCTCTTTTTTCTTTCTGTTTCTTCTCTAACATTTCTCTGAAACTTTTCTTCTCTCTTATATACCTTTCTCTTGCTACTTTTCCTCTTCTCCACTTCCAAAACATCCTTTTAACCTCTCTTTTCCTCTTTGTACAGCTTCTATCCCACCAATCCTTGTGTCCTAGTTCCCTTTTCCTTTTCTTTATTGTTCTCTTTACTAATGATCCATATATTATCCTCTTCATTGTTTCCCATTTGTCTTCTACCGAATTTCCTTCCTTGTCTCTCTCAGCTTCCTTCCTACTCAATTTCTCTGTCATGTCCTTATATCCTTGTATTGCTTCCTTATCCCATACTATAATCTCTATTTCTTCCTCTTCTTCTTCCCTATTCTTCTTTTGTTGAGTCCCTTTTCTTCTTCCTTCTTCTTTCTTCCATTCCACCTCCAAAGGCAAGTAATCCGAGTCCACCCTGTTATCTATCTTAAACTTATTGACCTTATCATTTATTTCCTCGCTTACTATTACGTAATCTATTACCGTATTACCTCTTTTTCCTACATATGTATATTCCCCTTCCCAATCTCCTTCTTTTCTACTATTTATCATGTACTATCCTCTTTCTTTTATCCACTCTACGAAATTTCTACCTCCGTTTCCTATTATCTTATCTTTACTATGCCTCTCCATACTTTCCTCCCCTATCTCACCTCCCCCTAATTCTCCCGTCCTAATATTAAAATCGCCCACTATTATGACATTTTCTTTTTTCTCCTCTCCTACAAATTCATTAATTCTTTTTCCTATATCTCCTTTTCCCTGCTCGTATACTGATATTATCTTCCAACTTTCTCTATACATTTTTATTTCAGACATTACCATCCCTTCCTTTTCCTTAACTAATAATTTCCCTTGTCCTCTTCCTTCCTTTTTTCCCCTATTATAAAACCCCCTTTCGCTCTTTCTTTTCTTTTCTCCTTTACCGCCGATCTGCACGCCTATTCATGTGATTGTGGCAGTTTATCTTTCCATCCTTTCCATGCTTTCTCTTCTATCCACGTTTCACATAAGCTAATAAAATCAAAGTTTTTAATATATTTCCAAAATTCTTTATCCTTGTTTCCTATTCCTGCCATGTTCCAAAAAACAAATTTAATCTTTTCCTTTTCCTCTCCTTGTTCTTTCCTTCTCTCTCCTCTCTCCCCTCCTTCCTTTCTTCCCCCTATCTTATCATTTTCTCCCTTGCCCCCTTTTTGGCTTACACAAAATTCTGCCCTGCCCTTTCTCTATCTCCTTTTTCTCTTTCTTCCCTCTCCTCCCCTTTTTTTTCCTTCTCCCTTCCTCCCATTTCTTTTTCTTCCTCCTCTCTTTCCATTTCTGCCCATGGTCTCCATATTCCTCTGACTCTTACCCTACCTACTCCTACCTTTACTTCTAATCCTTTTTCTTTTTGTCCTTTTGCCCATTTGTTTATTTTCTCCTGTATTTTTCTCTCCTCCCAGCTCAAATCATTTTCTATATAAATCCTATCCCCCTTCAACTTAAATTTATTTCTCATTATTTCCTTCTTTACTTCCTCGTTTTCTAATTTAA